CAAACATGCCGGACTCGGTGCCATTGACGCCCCAGGAAGGCTGATTGGACCCTCCCGCCGCCACTGTCCATCGTGAGCGCCGTTACAGCCGCGATGGCGTTCATAAGGGGTAAATCGACTTTCCATCGCTCATTTTGGACTCTGTAGCTTTTTTTTTTCCTACTTCTGTCACGCGCTACCTTTCCACTCTTTTTTTTTTTTTTTTTTTTTCTTGCCCGTAGCTTGTTGCCAAGGGAAGAAACAAAAAGCCGATAAATTGCGGATGATCAATACACGCTTTTTCCGCTACCGCGCCAGTGTATATAAACTTTTGTTCGAAGGACGAGGTGGTGGGGCACACGTTTGTCGGTAATCTGCTCGGCATCGGGGCTGCAGGCGAAGGTGCTGCAAGTCAAAAGGGGTGGGGGAGGGCACGAGATCAACGAGCTCGCAACCCATAGCGTATATGTACTAATGGATAATGGAATTATTGGTTTTGGTCCCGGAGAGAGCGAGTCGAGTTGCGCGCCTGGGGATGATCGTAATTCGATTGTCTCGATGTGTCCTCTGGACGTTTTGACAGGACGGATGTCCTAACAAGAACACCGCCTCGGGCACCACTCGCTCCGTGTATGCACGTATACGTGTGCACCTACGCGCGCGCTTGTGGATTACATCTCTTACGTATATATATATATACGACTCGCGGCAGCTGAAAGATTGGGACGGTGGGTATATAGGTATACGAGGATTCGTGCAGCCTCGTACGTGCTCCTCTGCCGCGCAATTACGTTTCTAAAAAATCATGTTACCGATATTATTATTTTTATTGGTACTTCGTTTCATTGATTGAACAAATTTTTCGCCAACCCAAGTACTTGCATACATGTATTCTATTGTACTGAATTTCGAATACTATTGCGATGATAAAACTATACAAGCCAATATTCTTGGATTCTCACTTTGACGATTAGTTGCTCAGCGCAAATGTATACCTGCAAACTAAAAGTTGCGAACATATGGACAGAGGCAACCGATGCTTGCACTCATGTACACGTCTAGGTACAGTTTACATCACAATCAAAGAGCGAGAATAAGCATCTGCAGCACGAGGTCGGTTATAGCACGGGACTCTGATTGTATTTTACGTGTAAGTAGTCTGTGTGGAAGAGAAAAAAAAAAAAAAAAAAAGTGAGTAGTATATCGCCTCAGCCACCATATAGTCTGCAGCGCGGAGAGAACGCAATGAGCATCGGAGGGTGAGACACCCGCAGCTGATCGAAGCATTACAGATGTATAGGCCAATTTGTAAGCAATCCAACTTGTATGTATGTATATATATATATATAATATACGCTCGGCCGAGTGTAATATTGTATTTTTACGCGTCATATCTTTCTCCTCTCTTTGGTGTGTATCGTGTGGGTGTACTTACGTACCTGTGGCCGGTACATACTCTTCGTTCCATCTCACGAATGGGCTCTCTTTTGCTCTCGTTTTCTCCGCCTTCCCTCCCTCCAATGCACAGGCAAATCGTCCCAACGTCGATCATCGATCGGATACAATAATATATGTATATTATATTGACAACGAGTCGACTCGCGCATTGGACCCACACGCGCTCTTACGTACACAGTGCACGCGAAGAGAGAAAGAGTTTTATATACGCGTAGCAAAAAATTACAACGATATACAATAAACACACAGCTTGTGCCTACGTACATTTCGGTACAACATCTGCCCCCGAAAAAACAAAAGCCCATTGTCGCTAACGACCGGTCGCGCGTCTCTTGTTTCTAACCGAGCGCTTTTCAATCGTAGGCGAGCGCCCGTGTACATAACGGACCCATGCGTCCCCGTCCTTTTTCTCGTTGCCCAATTTTTTTTTTTTTTCTCTCTCTCGTTTTTTTTTCTTTTTTTTTTTTATGCATCACACGTAAGTATATAAATCTCCGCGCCTGTGTGTATACGACGTGCAGGGTAGCTACTCCGGTCACAATGCTCGAGAGTTTTTACCGCTATGCTTTTTTTTTTTTTTCTACCCTCCGCCATCTCCTTGCTCCATACGCAAATGTATAACTCTCCTCTAGCTTGGACCGCGACCCGTTTCATCTAATACCTTCTAGTGTGTGTGTGTACATTTAAAATGTCTCCATCCCGTTCTCTCGAGTTGATGTACATATACAGGCAAAGTTGTTTTTTTTTTTTTTTTTCTCTTCACCACCGCTTTAACTCCCTTTGCGCGATGGTTGTATACCTGTATACCTCTTGGTCTTTGATGTCAAGCGCGAGAAAGACGAGTGCGAGAGATTTCCAGTGCATGGAGCTAATGTTGGTAGAAAAAAAAAGCTTGGCGAGTTGATTTGGAACGAAAAAGCGCCGACGAGCATAATATTACCATTGAATCGCTCTAATTTGCGTAAACGCGATAAAGCCCGACGCGCATGACATGTACGTGTATGCGCCTCTTTTTATACGTCGATCGGTATAGTTGAAAATCAAAGACTCCGAAGGAAGGAAAGCAGTCGTCCATCTCCCGCGTCAATATTATCATTTCCTCGGCGGGGTATATATCATCGGGGCAAGGACTCCCGCACCGGGAGCCGCGTGAACGCCGACCTCGTGCTCGTCACTGTTGTTATATATTATATACATCTATATATATGCACACGTATCCTCTTTCTCCTGCTCACCCGCGCCGCTCAACTTTCCCTCGGCTGCATCAGCTTTAACTCTCTCTTTCCTCGAGACGCTCGATATTTTAATTTCTGACACGGCGCGCGCAGCGAAAGTGTTTCCTCCCCCCCTCACCCCACCCCAACCCCTTACCCGGAGGTATACGGCGTTTCGAGAGAGCGACTCCTCTCGACTTTTAAAGAAGATATTATAAGTCCTCCGGTGCGGCAGCCGAGTCTTTTTCTTATTTACCTATGTATTACTGCATTACTGCAAGTACCGCAGCTCCTATATACTTATTCCCCTTTCGCTTCCAACTCTTGTATATATAGTTGCTCCAGTGATGATGCTGCAAGGGGAGGGGGTGAACTGCACCGCCACCCTTGGGTCGTTGTGTTCCCTTTCCGTGCCGCGTGCAAGAGAAAGAAATGGAAAATCCCCCTTCCTATGCATGCAATTCTTTTGCCCGTGTATACAATATAATATAACGTATATGTGATGGCCTTTCCGTATAGCCCGAGCCGATGCCGCTGGTGGTCTGTCGTGTATATATATATATGTATAAATGTTGGCGTGTGGAGCGGGAAAGGTGTGGCCTCGGGAGAGTGCGCCGATGGCCAATGGTCAAGCCTCCTCGCCGGCCGGGAGAACTGGTAGGCACATCTCTCTCTACCTATACGTACGAGAGCGCTCCGCCCCGAGTCTCGGGCACGCGCCGCTTTTCCTCCTTTACTTCCTCCTCTCCTGTTTGGCTTTTTTACGCTTTTTTCGCCATCACCTGTGAACGCTCGCGTGCCTCCCACCTATTATTATACATGCCTACCTCGGGTGGCTTCGCCTTCGGTCGCGGAATTCGGAACGCGGATGTACACGGACGCTGCCCTAATGGAGAATCGATACCTATCTATATATATGAGCATAATGAATTATATACGCATGTACATCCATCCAGCGGCGCGTGATCGATGAAAAACACACTTTGGTCTTTGAATAATTTTGCTCAGCAGGTCGTGTATACAAGTGCTTAATTAATATTAGTATATAGAGGACGCGTTTGTACCCCGATAGAGGTAGCCCTTAAAAAAAAAAAAGAGGGTTTTCGAGTGGGTTGTGTATCGATGTAACAACAAACATCTCGACACAAATAAAATGATGTTGGTTGGTATGAGCATACATATATGTATTTTTTTTTTCATCAAAACGAAGAAAGATGCTTTTCTATTGTTTGGATAAAATCGGGTACAATATAACTTAATGCGGTATCGTTAGAAAAGGACCATGGGAGTATAAAAGAGACGGTGAAAGTGAAACCACCGACTGTATATTGACGAATTTCTCATTACGAGCGTATATGTATCGATTCGCGTAATGGAAGTAATTTCGCGGTGATGACTGTGGCCTAGGCATGGGAAGATAATATTATATTACAAATCAATCCGTCCCGTAAATAACGTTTCGCAACAAAACAAATGGGTATCCGAAAAAAGAAAAAAAAAAAAAAAATGCAATAACACTCCCGATGCGTATCGTGTATGTATGTAAGGCGGTGGGAGCTAGCAAACGCGTATAGAGGCGGGTTGACGGGGGGGATGAAAGGTGGATGAAAAGAAGGACGGTATACGAGGAGGCTGTATGTAAGAAAGACGAGGCGGAGGAACGGGCACGCGCGCGCGTGTGTAAGAAAGACAAAGAGAAAGGGAATAAGGCGTGAAAAGGGAAGGAGAGCGTCTGGGTGCTTGTTTTCACGGGCTCTCCTGGCATCGGACCATCACCATCCGGACGGATACGGTACTCGAGTGTACCTACACTCCCGGCATCTGGAACAAGAAGGATCAATATATGAACTTCTGCCAATCTCTATGTTAATCCCCCCCTTCCACCTTCCTCCTGTCCCGCGACTTACTTTTCGCCTTCTGTGTGTATAACTGTGTTGTTATCTATACGCATGAAAACCGTGTGGGGGTGATACGGCGCAAGCACATACACATTGTTATTATACGATACAGGAGCGCCGATACGAGTGCCAGAAATACTCTCCTGAAGGAGCCCTAAAAGTGAATTGTTACGTCTGCGGCTGACCTCCGTGCACTGCGCCACTATTCCCCCGTTTATCATGTATACGTACAGACCAGTTGGTGGCTCGAGCCTTCCTCCAATATATGATATAATATACAATGGCTCGAGTGCCCCATTAGATCTCCTAAATTTTTCTCTTTTCTCCTGCCCCGAGTATCATTATTTACCCCGGTTAATTGACGGACGGGCGAGCGATACAACTCGAATGAAGGAAAAAAGAGAGAGAGAGAGAGAAAATAACTTGTATTTGGTTTTTTGTCTGATTGTAGCGGAAACGTCGCAAAACGCGGCATCGCCGGACATGGTGCTTTGCGGTAGCTGCCGCGCGTCGTACCCCCTGGGGGAGATAGTGCGCTTCATCGAGCACAAGGTCAGCCACTGCCGGAGCAGCCTACCGGGCTGCCAGAGCCCCACAGCAGCGGCGGCGCCCGAGGACTCGGACCCCGAGGATGCCCTGGCTCTGAAAGGCGCCACCGGCGACTCGCTGCAGCAGGACTCGAAGCTCAGCTCGGTGCCCAGCATATCGGCCCCCATGATCAAGCGCAGCAGCACGGGCAGGCTCGAGAGCCCGCCCACGCCCCAGGGGGCGGCGGGGAGCAGCTGCAGCGAGGCCGTGAGTCCGATCGAGCTCAGGGCCAACGCCAGCTCGACCCCCAAGCGCCGCACGAACGACACTGCTGGTGTCGATGAGCTCCTCGACAAGGACGACCCGCCCAAGAAGCCCAAAACCGAGTCGGTCGACGCCGACACCAACACCGTCAGCAACGGTAAGTCCATCCTTTTATTCATTCATTCGTCATAATATACATTTATATGGGCGAGCTATAAACTGTGGGTCATATATTTGGGCGAATTGGACGGTAATTATAAAGATGCATGGCCCATTGAATCTCCCCCCTATACTCGATATATTATATATGTATAAGATGGAAAGTCGCGAAAATCAGCTGATCATCGATCGTTGGCGATCAGCGTGGGCTATTTACCGAATTCATGTATATATACGTATCAACATGGATCTCGACTGCCGTTTGTCGGGGTTAAAATATAGGGTATATACATACCGCGGCTATCGATTAAACGGGCCGCCACTTGCTCCTCGGCGTAATTGCTTTGTGCGCCGCGGCGCTACCGCCAACTCTGTACCTATGTAGTGTATATACGTATATATACTCTCAGCTCGGCGAAAGGGGAAACTTTCCCTTTTCACCGCTCGCGCGAGTATATAAATATACGGAGGCTTGGGTGAAAACAAAACAAAAAAATATTGGAGATGGAGCCAGAGAGGGAGAGAGCGCGGGGGAGGTCCTCGCGGGAAGGAGATATCGATCGGCGGCGCTGATGCATCGGGATCGCGATTTCCGGGAGCTTCCTAGGGAAGAGTTATAGGAGCTGGGACGCCGCATACACATATACTTACCTCGCTTTTGGCTGTCCGCTGCAGATTTGCAAGGCACGAGCCTATAATACGTAACGTGACCTGGAACGGTTTTTTCTTTTCTTTCTTTTACTCGGCTGTGCCCGTATAATACCCTACTCTATCGCGCATTGAAAACAAAACCGTTTCACAGCTAAATGCCGACCCACTTTCGCTGATCCGCGATAAGAGGGATGTGTAGGTTGGACACACACACACACACACACACACACACATACTCATACGTATATTTGTACGGGCTACGGCAGATATCCTCGGTGGGTGCTCTTGTTCGTGCAATCGCGAAACGGTTCGGTGTATATGACGTTGAAAAAAAAAAAAAAAAGAAAAAAAGAAATCCATCTGGCCGTGTCGAATTGCATCGTGTTAGATCTGGTGGAAAAGAAAAAAAGAAAAAATTTTAAGTAAGTACCATGGACAGATTTTCGATTGTAACGGAGAGGGGTGAGCTCGGGGCGCAGTGGTCCGAGGTGATGTCCAGTCCAGCAGGCAGTGGAGTGTGTCTGGTCCATCGTGGTCTGGCTCACCGGGTCCGGACAATGTATTTGTGCGCCACCCCTGCTCTCTGCGGGCGCACCGCACATACACCGAGGGGGGGGGGGGTGAGAATTTGATTTTTAAACTTAAAGCCCAAAGTGACGCTCTCTCCCTCTCTCGGTCATTGTTGATCGTCGAGTGGTGCGACTGCTGCGTCGACAATTTTTTTTTATTACCTTTGGGGATTTCGAGGTTGTCGCCGCGACATTTGGCCTCTCGTCGGATACGGATACGGTTACTCGTGCGGCCAGCCTTTGCAAGTCCAACCGAAAAGCCATGTGTCTGGTATTTTTTAATTTAATTGATGATTGGAAAAAAAAAAAAAAAAATTATTTATCGTTTTTCCGGAAGCTTGTAAGAAAGATCCATAACCGTTGTGTGTGATTAGCTTGGCTGAAAGGCCCGAGAACAATATCAATCAGAGGGAGCGCTGAAAGCGAGAGCCGCGCGCGGTGGGCATCAAAAGTACAGATGGGTATATATGCATCCTTACGCACCTACTTAAAACTTTAATCGCACGCGCGTGTGTGTATATATATATTATGTATACAAAGTAGGTATAGGTGGTATACACGACGTACGTTGTATAAAGGGACGATCCCTCGGTTTTAACCCTTGAGAGCAGAGCCTCGAAGGTTTGTCTCTCCGCAGCCGGTCCAGCGTATAAGTACGACGACGAAGCTCGCATCGCATCACGCATCATGTATCCCCGAGGCTTTTTGTTCGGGCTCCTTTTTTTTTTTTTTCTTCCTCGCCACTCGCGCGGGGACCCAAAGCCCAATTAGAATCGTCCCATTGTCTCGCCACGTGGTAGGCACGAGCCGATGCGCCTCTTTCTTTCTCTCTCGTATTCTCCCCCTGTTCATCGGCTGTACGTGAGCGATACCGCGCGCGTGCGCCCAGGTAGATACAACAACTCCGTGTATATATTATAATGTACACGACAGACACACGAGCCGTGACGTTCTCTCCTCTTTGCTTTTAGCTCCGTGCACCTATTTTTTTGACGCTCCTCCGAGGACGGTCGCGTGCTCATCGCGTGGCTGTTTTTATACGCCCAACCGTTAGGATGGAAATCCCGTGATGCTGTTATTGTCATTTTTATGTACATCTACGCGCGTGTCGTGCCTCTGGTACACATAATTATATTGAATAAAATTCGAAATACCTACAGCACGGGTATACAGAGACGCGAGTTGTTCTCGTGAAGCGTTTAAGAAGTGTAACGCACAAACGCCCCGTATCCGAAAATCTCAAATTTTCTTTCTTTCCTCCGAAAGAATTCCAAAGGCGTATTATATTTCACGGCAGCGCTCCTATCGCGTGATCTTCGCAGCGTCGCTGAGATAATATTGTTAAATGCAGTTAGCCGGTGTACGAAAGAAAAAAAAAAAAAAAAAAAAAATGTATAATAAAGGAAAAGAGAAGAGGGTACGGGGGAGAGCAGAGGGACATGCCGACGACGAGTGTGGCGCGGACGATAATCCGGCAAAATTGACACTTGTATTATCCTCCGCAGCCCCCGTGTCATATATATAATACACACATACTCGTATATGCATCTATATAGCACCGCTTGCGCATAAAATACAAGTTATTGCAGTATATGAGGTACTTGCGCCAAAAATTGTTTCACTCGCCTTGTAAAGCACATACGTACACAATTTCGTAGCGTAAACATTTCTGAAATTTCGTGAAAGGCAAAAACAACGGGGGGTGGGGTTTATACGCGAATTGAAGTTTATCCGAACAAAAGGGAAATATATATATATATATATATATAGCCGAGGTTGGGGTGGAAGAGACGAGGAGGAAGAATTGTCTTTGCCATCTGGTAAAGTGAAATGCAGATTTGATGTATCTGTCACCTTTGTCTGGAATATTAATTCCTCCGTGACACGGAGACGAGGCAGAGCGAGCGGAGAATAAGAATAAGACGTAGTATATATATATATATATAGAGAGAGAGAGAGAGAGAAAGAAAGGAGGTCTACCTATATATATATATTATACGTATGCTTCCATTTTCCATCTCCGCAGCCGGGGTTATCCGCTGGCCTCGTCCGCTGCGTCCACACACACACACCACTTGACTATTTCGCAACTGCCACCTTATCCCCCCCACCCACCCACCCACTTCTCTCTCTCTCTTCTTTTCGCTTTTCTATTTCCTACGAAGAAGAAGAAGTGTCCCTCCACGCTCGTTGTTTTTCTCTCCGCTTCCACCGCGTATATGTATATATATGGCCCGCGGCGGTCGCGAAATTGCTTGCGAATTGCCCACCCTGCAAAGCCCATGCCTGTATCTACTCGGCTCGCGCCTAGCTGGAAACTTGAAACAACAACAACAACAACAACAACTACGACGACGATAAAAAAGTCCCTCCCGCGAGCAGAAGCGCTGCTTTTCTTTCTCTTTCCCGGGCACTCGATTCTTTTTTTTTTTTTTTTTTTTTTTTTCGTCTTACTAAACAGTTTCAAGAGTCCAGTGCTTTTTTCCATCCCCCTCTCTCCTCGAGGGTTAAATTTTCACACACACAGAGAGAGAAAAAGAGATAACGTTTTTTCGCTTGGAACAAGTAGTGTGCTTTCGAAACGGAGAAAAAAAAAAAAAAAAAAAAAAAAAAAAGAAACAAGCTCCAATTACATGAGCGTCGCATCCCTTGTTTCAATGACCCCCCGAAACCCGAGAAAAACTTGTACATCCGCCTCAGGTAAAATAACCAATAAACGCCGTGGGGCTGGCAGCTGCATCATGCGGGTCCTTGCAAACCTCGACTCGTTTACGACTCGCCGCCCGCGGGGAACAGAAAGGACGCGCCGTGTTACATATACATACAGGTACATTTGTGAGGCACGTGTTCGCGAGTGGGTATAGTGGCGCAATAATCACGTCCGCCCCGTGTATACATATGGAAGGCCATATAAGGGCGGCGATGGGCCTGCGGTCTACCGAGACGTAAAACAGAATCTTTAAGCGCGCCTTGACCAACCCGCCCGCTGACCACAACCACGGCTTTGTGACGCACAATGTCGTAGCTTTGTAATACCTCGAGAGTATAGGTACGTAGGTGTGTGCGTGGGCACTAAAAAACGAAAAAAATCAAAAATTTTTTTGTTTTGTTCATCCGTGTACCTATACACACGCGAGTGGGTAATAACGTTGACAAACGGGTCTTTTGTCGACGGCCGGGGTATGGGCACGTATTCGCGGATCGCTCGCGCATATATACATGTATACCTATCGAGGGCGCGTAATGCGTCGATGCAGGTGCACGATGTACGTGTACGAGCGAACGAATGCCAGCTATATATACAGCGTCCCTGCGACAAATGCAACCCTCGGCCGTCAGGGGTAGGCACAAAGTGCATGCGTCGCATACGTTGGCCAATCGATATTTTAATATTGTCAACGCGGCCCATCCTCCCCCGGTTTCTCTCCTATAGCCTTTGTCGTCGTCGTTGGCGTGCCGCTTGTGCTCCCTTATTTCGTTTGTGTCGGACGGCGATGAAAAATGTTTAAAAAGAGGCTCACCCACACGGGGTCAGGGTTGATTAAAAATATATTTTATTTTTTGTCGCTTTGACAATTGTTTTTTTTTTTTTTTTTTTTTTTTTTTTTATTTTCACGATCGCGAATCGAGACCCTTTCGATCGGGGGACAATTTGATATGGTCGACGAGGGAGGAAAAGGGAGCTCGGTTTTCAGACCCCGAGTCTCTCTGGATCTGCACGTGATGTACTCGGGCGAATTTTCAAGTGGCTCGCGTGAAATCTGCCGTGAAAGGGTTGGGGGGCACATCCGCACACGCACACACAGGATGACCAGGGAGTCTCGAGTCGCGATAGACAATGCCGAGCGTTTCCGAGCGATTTGAGGACGAAACCGGCACCGATTACCCTCACGGCCAATTGCCGGGGAAAAACGCTCTGGTCATCTCTCCCCGCCCGTGCACCTCCTAGCTTCGCGTCACGCTCGGGTTAAAGTTTCTAGGTACACCGTCTACAGGAGGAAAGAGGAGGGGGGAAAGAAAAAGAAAAGAATTTTATGGCCTTGGCGCTCGGTTTGTTAGCGCCGAGCTCGAGTAAATCACGTTTGGCTCGAGCATATTTTCCTTATCTTGTAAACATTTCACCAAGACGCGTACGTATCGCGAGCTATCATAAATCTATGGAAATCAGTTTGCGGCTTTAAACGAGAGGCGTCCGAGGAATCCACCCCTGTATGTATACGCAGGGGTGGCCAGCGTAATGGTATACACGGAGAGAGATATTGAGAGAAAAGAAAGGCTGGCGTCGAGAAAAAAGGAGGCTGGGGGCGTCGAAGAAATAATCCTAACGGATGGCCACCCGCGAGGTTTGCATATGAAAGCCCGAGCCGTGAATCGATACACCTTTATTATGTGCCCGAGCACTTGCTTATCGCTCCGCGACCCCTGGGGCGGTAAATACAACCGAGAGACCAGGTCTTTTTTTCTTCCGTCCCACGCCACCTCGGTCCCTCGGAAGTCGGCAATATTTTCGACTTCCGGCCGAGTGAAGGAGCCTTCCGCTCTTCATTTTATTTATTCCATCCCTCCGCGTAGCCCCGAGCGTGAAACAATATGTCGCCTCGTCACGCTCCCAATTTCACGGGATTTCCTTTTTTTTTTCCTCCTTCCCCTTTCGCGTTTCCTTCCATAAATATATTATGTCTATACATGTCACCCTTTTCCTTGATCCGAGCGTTGTTGTTGCTCAACGGTGTTTTAAAATTCCTTCGAGTTTCGTGAGCGAAAGCACCCAAAAACAGCCATCCAATTACCGAGACTGCACTCCCATCGAGATTTCATCCTTTGTCTCTCCCCGGTCGTCCGATTTTACTTTTCCGACAGTGTATATATATTATATATATATACATGGAGATAGGGGGGGGGGGCGAGAGAAAAACTTGGCCTATCTCGGTGGGGCTGCAGGCAAAAGTTTTTCGTCCCAACAGGTCATTTAAAGAGCCGACCCCCTGGCTTTCTTTGGCCGCCAAACTTTTTGAGATAAAGGAAAAAAAAGGACCGACTTGCTAATGAAAAAATCATTGCTACTTGCTTTTGAGCGTTGAGGATTCAAGGGGAAACTAAATCGCGATGGGATTCTTTTTTTTTTTTTTTTTTTTTGCGGGAAACAAATTTAACGAGTTTGTTTTACAATAAATACAACACGTTGTTCTATTATATACCTCATCACCTATATACAGGTCTTATATTAGTATGTATTATATACCTTTAAGAAAAAATGCTTGGTGTATAATGCATCGTTACTACAAAAAAATACAAAGTCAAAAATTATTCAATTATCGTTTGTATACTTGAAATAAATGGTTACAAAACAGTAATCTTACTATACACCGTTTGATTGAAACTTTGCCGCTGATAAAAGTACTGTACTAGCTATATATTCATCAGTTTACGTGTTGAATAGCACTTGGCGAAAAATAAATGGTCCAAAAAGATATCAGGCCCGATTCCCATGCAAAACAAAAAGGAGAGACGCCGCAAGAGAGAGTATCTGCATTCGGGCATCGAAATCCGATTAAAAGCATCGGTAAGCGTCCTAATCGCGGCACTATCCGAGAGCGTTTGGGGGGGGGGGAGGCCATAAATTCTTGAGAGCGCGAGAGTTGCCGCAGAGATTCGTGGCAACTGCTTGTATTATATACATTACGTGCCGGCAGCAGCAGCTCCCTGGAATATAATCGCAGGGCTTTCGAGGTCGCGTCGACAGCAGCCGGCGCTGCGCCATTTACCGACGCTAGCGAGTCTAAAAAGTGCGGTGGAAGGGAAAAAAAAAAAAAATAGAATAAAACCTGCGGTCTACCGAGACGTAAAACAGAATCTTTAAGCGCGCCTTGACCAACCCGCCCGCTGACCACAACCACGGCTTTGTGACGCACAATGTCGTAGCTTTGTAATACCTCGAGAGTATAGGTACGTAGGTGTGTGCGTGGGCACTAAAAAACGAAAAAAATCAAAAATTTTTTTGTTTTGTTCATCCGTGTACCTATACACACGCGAGTGGGTAATAACGTTGACAAACGGGTCTTTTGTCGACGGCCGGGGTATGGGCACGTATTCGCGGATCGCTCGCGCATATATACATGTATACCTATCGAGGGCGCGTAATGCGTCGATGCAGGTGCACGATGTACGTGTACGAGCGAACGAATGCCAGCTATATATACAGCGTCCCTGCGACAAATGCAACCCTCGGCCGTCAGGGGTAGGCACAAAGTGCATGCGTCGCATACGTTGGCCAATCGATATTTTAATATTGTCAACGCGGCCCATCCTCCCCCGGTTTCTCTCCTATAGCCTTTGTCGTCGTCGTTGGCGTGCCGCTTGTGCTCCCTTATTTCGTTTGTGTCGGACGGCGATGAAAAATGTTTAAAAAGAGGCTCACCCACACGGGGTCAGGGTTGATTAAAAATATATTTTATTTTTTGTCGCTTTGACAATTGTTTTTTTGCAAAATTATTAATTTTATTTAACTCAAATCAAGCTATTAAATGAGTTTGTCTGTTACTCACGAGTCGCGAGAGTCAAGAGTTGACTGAAACTTTAGAGGACAGGTGACAGACGTAAGGAGAGCAATTTTTCCTCTTGATGGTGCATTTTTATAGCATCAGAGCGAGTAAAAGAGGCCTTTGGTTGAATCAGGTCAACCAATGAGCGATGTTCTTGCAGATTGCGTTGACAGCAAAACAGTAGGCTTGCANAAAGAAAAAAAAAAAAAAAAGGAGGAGGTGGAAGAAAGGCAGTAGGGGGCTCCTTTCTTTTCGGCCGAGGGTCGAATTAATAAAAATCCCACGGACACGCGGCTCCCGCAGGCGGTCGTTGGCGCGGATGATCGTTGCCGCCCGGCAGACGTGGAGCGTGAAAAATGGCTGAAAATCTGATATTCCGGATTAAAAACATTGAAATTCAAAACCCGTCCCCGGACCGCGCCGGGAAAAGTCGTTAAGGGTCAGTTTCGCAGCCGCCGCCTCCATCTCCACCCCTCGGTCTCCCTGTCCCCTCGTGTCTCCGTACGTACGGAATCTCTCCTCCCCCTGGCCTTTGTAGCCAACCTTAGTCACGGTATTATTATCACCATTTTTTTTCCCTCTCTCTTCAACGCTGACGCGCAATTTGACACAGACGCCAGATCTTGCGCTTTGAATCCGAAATACATCGGGGCCACGGATAATGCTTATTACTACCTATAACTCGATAAATTGCGTGCCTCGATTGAAACAAACAAAAGCCATGTACATAAGACGGTGACAGTATAGAGAGAAACGTGTTTTTTTTTTTTTTTTCCTGTTTCAGAACCAAAGTGGCTGCAGTGCTGTCAGTGCTCGCGAAGATTGCCGACCGCGTGGGACCTGCTCCAGCACATACAGGCGGTGCACGGGTCGCGGCTTTACTCCTCGAACGCGTCCTCGGCCAACTCCTCGTCCAACACGCCGGCCCCGAGTCCGCCCACGCCAACGCCGCCCCATCACCAGCAGCAACAGCAGCAACAGCACCACCTGAGCCCCCTCAACCAGCTGAATCTCAGTGGCAAGTCGAGCAGCGGTGGCTCGGTGGCCAACTCGAGTGGCGGCGGTGGCGGCTCGAGCGCCAGTACAAACAGCAGCGTGGCCAGCACCGGCCGAGTCCAACAACAACAGCAACTGCAGGGCACGGGGCCCCTCGTCGGCGATCCCCTGCACAGTTTCTTCCGTCTGCCGCAGCACCTCGAGCGCGGCTTCAGTCCCATGTTCAGGCCCGAGCTGCTCGCGTTGAACCCGTTGGCCGGTTACCGGGGCCTCCAGGATCTACAGACGGCAACGCGTAACTTGCAAAACCTCGGCGACCCCCTGCGAGCCATCGACGGGCTCAATCTGGGGGATCCCCTGGTGCGTAGTTCCCTCGACTCGTTGAACAACGCGCGTAACCTCGCCAGCCTTGCCGAGCTGTCGCACGGGGCCAGGGCCGGGCTTACCGGTCAGGCCCACCCACCCCCGACCCTAGACCCCGCGAACCTGGATTTTTACTCGGCGCGCCTAAGGAGCCTCGCTAACCCGTCCTTAGGCGCGGCTCCGAATCCAGCCTCGGTCAACACCACCAATCCCGGCAACCCCGTGTCGGGGCCCCTACCGGCGGTTCAGCACATTGCCAATCACATCAACCACAACAACAACAACAACAACAATAGTACCAATCACAACAACAACAACAACAACAACAACCACAACAACAACAACAATAACAACAACAACAATAACAACAACAATAACAACAACAACAACAACAATGGGGTGGAGACGCCGGTGGCGGTGACGAACCCGAGCGTCAACAATTGTCCCACGAACCTCAGCCAGAAGGAGAGTTCGCCACCCTGTTACGGACAGAGTCCGCTCCACCACCATAATCACAACCACGGGCACCATCATCATCATCACAGACACCACCACCACCACAATAACAACAACTCGACGGACAGCGAGAAGGCGTCGCCGCCCGGGAGCTCGGCCGCCCCGAAGATCGGCCAGGACGGTGCCGAGCCGCTCTTCAGCTGCAAGGTCTGCGACAAAAAGTTCCGCTTCCAGAACAACTTGCAGGTCCACCTGCGCCAGCACCGGGACAAGGAGCGCCTGGCCGAGCAGTACTCGGAGCAGAGCTCGGAATCGGCCGTGGGCCCGGTACGCTGCGAACTCTGCGACAGCGAGCTGGCGAGCCTGCCCGAGTTGCGCCGACACGTGCGCAAGGAGCACCAGGAGGCGGTGGCGGCCCAAAGTCCCCAGGGCAGCGTCGAAACCGTCCCCGACGACGAAAGCAGCTGCGACGAGCAGATGGACCTCGACGAGCCCCAGGACGAACACGACGAGCAACAGCACCACCACCGCCACCACCACCACCACCACCACCACCTGCCCAAGAGTAGACGGGTCAACGGAGGCGTCGGTGCCGAGGACGACGACGACGACGAGGACGCAGACGAGAGGGAGGAGGACGAAGCCGCCGCCGTCGCAGCGGCCAACGAGGAGAACACCCCCGAGGACCTGTCCACCAGCCAAAGCCAGTTGGTCCCGGGCGACGAGCCCAACAACGGCAAGCCCAGCCTCGTGGGCGACCTCATGGAAAAGTTCGGCCTGAGCAACATCGCCCAGTACTCGGAGGCGTACCGTCAAGCCCTCCAGGAGAACAGCCACCGCACCAGGCCCGGCGGCTTCCTCAAGGCCGAGACCTCGGCCAGCCTGGCCAACTCGCTGAACAACAACAAGGAAAAGGACGGCAGCGTGCAACTGTCGCCGGGTGGCTTCGGAGCTGCAGCCGCTGCCGCGAGCATGTTCTCCGGGCAGGGTTTCCCCCGCACCGGTGGTCCGGACTTTGGAGGGCTGTGGCTACCCGGGGCGCACTACCTCGACGGCGGCGAGTTCCGGAAGGCGAGCAAAGCCGCGGGCTCAACCGGGCTGGCGATGCCCGGGCTGCCGAGTCCCCTGCTCAAGAAGGAGCGGGGCGGCCGGAACGACACGTGCGAGTACTGCGGCAAGGTGTTCAAGAATTGCTCGAACCTGACGGTCCACCGGCGCTCGCACACCGGGGAGAAGCCGTACAAGTGCGAGTTGTGCTCGTACGCGTGCGCCCAGAGCTCGAAGCTCACGAGGCACATGAAGACCCACGGCAGGCACGGCAAGGACACGTACAAGTGCCGGTTCTGCGAGATGCCGTTCTCGGTGCCGAGCACCCTCGAGAAGCACATGCGCAAGTGCGTGGTTGTCGTCCAACAGGGCCCGAAGCTCGGTATACCCTACCCGGCGAGCCAGGACGAGGACTCGTCGGTCAGCGCCAAGGACACCTGATCTTGGTCAGGCAGCCTGCCGCCGATCCCGCCTCTATGCTGGCCGCACAGGCCGCCCTACCCGGTCTACTAAGGTATACGCAACCGAGAGATTTGTTGTGCCGTTGTTGTCCTCGGACGAGGATGCAGACAACGCGGTGTGCACGTGATCGAGGGTGGCTCGGAAGGCCCCTATCCTCGACACGCGAACAACACTGCACGCAGACCAGAAACCAAGGCCAGTAAACGTATACTATATATATATATACTCACTACGTAACGACCGACGCCTTGCGCGCGCGCGCGTACGTGTATGTGTGTTGTTGTTGTTGTTGGTGTTGTTGTTGTTACCAGTGGAGCTCCATGCACGGGAGAATCAAGAAAGCCGTCGGAGATGGAGCATCGATACGCTGCTACAGAGATGATTACAAATATATAAATATATGAATATAGAAAGTGTGCAGAT